TAAAATAGGATCTACTTGTACATATTGCTACTCACACAGCAACCAGACTATTACAATCTTTTCCCCTCTCATTTGGAATACTGCAATGGGCTTCTAATAGGTCTACCTCCCTCAAGCATCTCCCTACTTCAATCCAACTTCTACTCTGTGGAAGTGATTTTCCTAAAGCATGGCTTTTACCATTTAACTCCACCACACAATAAACTCCAGAGGCAACTTATTACTTCTAGGGTTAAATATAAACTCTTCTGCCTTCACAACCTAGTTCCAACCTACATTTCCAGCTTTATTACATATCACTTCCCTTCATGCTCTCTAAAGTCCAGCCAAAATGGGATTCTTGCTGTTCCTCACATGGCATCACATCTCCTACTTCTGTGCCTTCACCTATTCCCGAATGTAATTCCTTCTCCTGTTGGGTCCCTTAAGTTTTCCTCAAAACTCAGCTCAAGCATCCCATCTGACATGGTCATTTACACTTTAGGAAGATCAATTTGACAACTAAATGGAGGACGGACTGGAGTGGTAAGAGATTTGAGACAAGGAGAATAACCAGCAGACTATTGCAATAGTACAGATGTGAGGTGATGAAGGCCTGTACCAGGTTGGTGGCAATGCCAGAGAAGAGAAAGGGGTGTAGATGAGACATATTAAGAAGGAAGAACTGACAAAACTTGGCAATAGATTAGATTTGAGGGATTAAAAGAGAGAGTGAGGAGTCAAAGATGACACCTATATTATGAGTTTGGGTGATTAGAACTGTAGTACTCGACAATAATAAGGAAGTTAGGAATGTCTATGGGACATCCAATTCAAGATATCTAATAAACAGCTGGAGATGTGAGTCTGGAGTTCAAGAGAGAGGTAAGGGCTGGACAAATAGATCTGAGAATCATTTGCACAGAGAAGATAACTGAATCCATGGGAACTGATGAGATAAAGTGAGAGGAAAAAGGGAAGAAGGCCCAAGAAAATCTTAGGGAACACACATGGTTAACAGATGTGTATATACTTTTGTATATGCTTATATATGTTTTTTGTCTCCTGAAATAATGTGAACTCTTTAATGGCACTGTTTCTTTTCGGTCTTTGTATTCCCAGAGCCTAGCACAGTATCTGGCATTTGATGTGAACTTAATGAATATTAGACTAATTGATTCCTCATCAGAATTTCTTCTCTCTTTGATCTTGAGCTTGACCCATTCTTCCTCCACTAATTTTTCTCTGAACGCTGTTCTTCCAAAATGCATGCCAATGCACGACATACTATGATTGGCTTTTATCTTCTGTATAAAAAATTCTAAGATGAAGGGCTTACTTCTCCTAAGGCTCCTAACGTTTCTACTTCAGGAATCAATTCCTCCTTGCTTTTCAGACACAGGTCCAGAATAGTACTTCCCTTCAGTTTCCTCTAGGCTACCAAGGACGTCCTAATCATAAGAGATTGTGAGTTTATTGGAAGTAACACTAGACTGAGAGACAGAAAGATCCAGGTTGTACCACTACGCACAAGCCAGTAAAATGCTCTGAGCTTCAATTTTCTTAATCATAACCAGGAAAGTATATATGGAGCTCTGCAAATCACAAAAGTACTTTATAAATGTGAACCATCTTCATGGCAAGCAATTTATTACTCCTTTAAATATGTTGCTCAACCAGCTACTCATCCACTAACCATAAATATAACACTATTTCTATTTCTTCTGTTAAAGAGAAAAATCTCTAAACTAGAAAGTATTAGGACTAATATCATTAACTGAGGTTCAAAATAGGCAGTGTATCTAGTTGCTTTAAATGAGTTCAAGTCTCTAGGCCAGGCCTGCACAACCTGTGGCCCACCAAAGGATTTTGGGCGGCCCATGTGCCACAGGTTGTACAGGCCTGCTCTAGGTCTATATGACATATCCAACAGTACTGAAAAAATTCCCAGTTCTGATCAGTCAGCCAAGGGAGGTACTCAATGAAGAAACTGGAAAATGGGTTTACAGGCTCCTGAAGCCCAAAGATGAGAAAATTTTTTATTTTTCAAAAAGTGAGAAATGACTTCCAGAAACTAGAGCCTCATGAACTTGACTATGAACCCAGACAAAATTCCATAATATATTAAACAGATGGTTGAATAACTTAGAAATAGAAGCAATGATCACTAGGAGCCAGCATGGATTTACTAAAAACAACTCTTGTCAAACTAGTTTCATTTGCCTTTTTTTTTTTGAGGGTTACTAACTAGCAGATGTTGAGCAATGGAATGCTCACCTGAAAGGAATCCTCTAATACACAGCAGTCAAACATATAACCACACTCCCAAGCGCAGCTGACCCAGATTAAAATGTAATTGGGAAACATTTAACAAAATAAAGAAAAATATAATAAGACAGATAACATTACATTTTAAAACTAAGTCAATATTTGGCCCTGAAAAATACTAAAGTACAGATTAATGGTCCCTGTTTCTATCTGAGTTTGTTACTATTGCTATGGTGGATTGTTGCAACAATCGTTCCTGAGCCCTGTTCTGTTACACAACAGCAAAAAATTGATAAGCCATGTGAAAGGAAGAGAATTTTTAAAAATAGGGTATTCTAAGCTTAGGGTGAACGGAATACATAAATCCATGAAGGCAGAAAAGGAAAGGTTGAAAATGAGTCTAATTAGTCTAGTCTGAGTCCCTAGAAGGGAGTAGCATGAGATAAGGTCAGAAAGGTAAGACTGGAGCCAGAATGTTGAGGGCTTTGAATGTTAGGCTAAGGAGTTTGTACTTTAGCCTACTGGTAATGGCGAAACAGACTGAAGATTTCTTTTTCTTTTTTAGATTGAAGATTTCTAAGGAGCATAACTGGATCTATGTATCAGGAAGATTACCCTGGCAACTGTGTGAAAGACAGATTTCCACACACGTCCTGGCACATGTGTGGACTGATTAATAGACTGGGGAATGGAGAAGCCTTGAGTTAAGGAAACCAATTTTTAAAGCTATAAAAGTCTGGTGGAAATAAAGATCTGAACCAGAGTGGCAGCATGAATGGAAAGGAGATGGAGGCATGTTGTTCTGGATAATCTATAGTCTCTTTCAGCTCTAATGATAATTTATGAGTCTATAAGATATTTTAGAGGTTGAATCAACAGGGCTCGTACCTGATTTGATATAAGAGGATGAGGGAAAGGGAAAACCATAGATAATTCACAGCTTAAGCACCTGGAAAACTAGAAATATGATGGTACCATGAATAGAAACACCAAAGTTGAAAGATAAGGGAAGCTGGTGAAAGTGGGAGTAAAGAGAAGACTTATACTAAATTGGAAGTGGAGGACATCCAGGTAAAATTAGAATCCCAGGCACCTGGAAATGCATGTTGGAAGTTCAGTAAAGAGACTGTGGCTGCCCTGATGTGTGAAGCCACAGAAGCAGATAAGATCACCAAAGACACCTGCATTTGGGCAGTTTAAAGGAGACATAAAAAAACAAAAAACTGTCCCTCTTAAAAAAATTTTTTTTAGAGGATCCAATTAAATAAATTGATTATGGCTACATTTTAAAACAATAATTGTGTTTTAAAATATTAGACTTACGATTTCCAATGGAAAAGACATTTTAAAAAACCCTCACTTCTATTCTCTCCTCCATACCATTTTAACCCTTCTGAGATTTATTTTTCTTTTCATCTTCCTTCTCAATCAATAGACCTGGAGAAGTGACAGCTCATGCTAAAGTTACTGAGCTGCTTAAAAATAAAGTGATGGGGGAAAAAAAAAACCTAGGTTATTTTTGAATATAAAAGCTACTTGGTATCTATTTATATTTCACTGTTAGAGAAAGAACTTTTCACCTTCATAAAAGTTAAAGATATAAATGTATAAGTAACTAATATCTTTGTCAGTTAATAAACATTTATTAAGTGCCCACTATGTGCCAGAGAGCACTGTGCTAAGCACCAGAGATAAAAAGAGGTAAAAGACAGTCCTTGCTCTCAAGGAGCTCACAATCTAATGTGAGAGAAAACATGCAAAGAACTATTTATAAACAAGCTAAATATAGGATAAATAGGAAAAACCAACACAGGGCAAGTACTAGAATTAAGAGGGATTGGGAAAGGCGTCCTGTAGAAGGTGGGATTTCAGAGGCCTGTGTCACTGGATCAAAGAGTATAGGTGTGTGGGTGTGGGGAAAAAAGAAGACTAGAAGGGTATGGGATATGTAGCCTATATCATGACAAGCTTTGAATGTTAAATAGAGGATTTTATGTTGATTTTGGGGTAATAGGGAGCCGCTGGAGTTTGTTGAGTAGGGGGATGATGAAGGATTAGATTAAAATTATTTTCTTTCTTCCTCCTGAAAATCTAACTATGGTCATTTATCAAATTTCTCTAAGAAATGTAATGCTCAAAACTGAACACGATCATTAATTGGTATTCCATAACTAACTCAAATGATGTATTGCTATCCAAGAAAAGTCCCCATTACTACCAAGCATCATCAACAAAGTTTAATTGCCTCACCTCTTCTACTCTGCACTGAAGCAACAGGAAAGAAAAGAGATAGGAAAAGATTAGGAATATAAAAGAGTTCACATACATCCTTAAATATAAAATTAAAGACAGATTCTTTTAAAAAAATTAACCTAAAAGTAAAAATAGATGTTTAGTTTTCAGACAAAGCTTATTCTGTGTAAAAAGAGTTAGTACTTTTCCTTTCCTCATCTAGTAAAATCACAGACCCTGGCTACTCAATGTTTATTATGGGGTTTATTTTGGTGGAAAGGGAGTTATAAAAAGAGATGTGACTGTTTACCATTTTCGTGGAGAAAGTAGAGCATTTAATCAGCCTTTAAAATATACTAGATTGTACACAAGACATCTGAGAACTGTAGATGGGAAGAGATGACTTTTAAATGACATTTATTTCTTTCATAAGTTTTCTTTAGAAAAGAATTATGAAGACATTTATGTCAGCCTCAAATTTCTCAAGTACTTCCCCCAGTAAAATTTTTATGCATACTTACTGATTTGATTCAAAGTCTCTTGGGGAATCCAACTCATATCAACATCATTTTGGTTCGATGTACCCATTTCTACTTTCTGGGCTGGTCTTTTTCTCTAAAAGAACACACAAATAATTTTAGTTATATCAGTACTCAAGTAAGATTTTATTAGGATTATAACAACCAACAATAACTAAAAGGTTAGGTTTCTATTTTATTACAAGAATCTAAGAAATACTTAATAGTCTTCAATTTCAATTAAAGTAGACCACACAAAAATGTTTTTCCCCCCCATATAATTAAGGTGTCACAAGGGGTTAGGTTATTATTAACTCAATATTAAGTGATTTTCAGGCTATAAGTATCTGTAAGAGAGCATATGCAATTCCTTACCTTCCTAGATTCTAGAAGCTGATGAAGCCCAACAACGACTAGTAGCCCAAGTCCAGCAAGGAACATGTACATAAAGATTCTTATTTCAAGGAAGGGAAAAAAAAAGCAGAAGAAATTACCATAAATAAAGATAAATGCTATAATAGTTTTGATACATGCCATAAATCCTCTAAATAACCTTATGAATAAGAAATGGAATTTAAAGGATTCAATTAAATTAGGAGCCAGTTATGTAATACATACTGGCTGTGTAACCCTGGACAAATCTCTGTGTCCCCAGACATCCCCAACTGTCCAAAACTCTAAATTGCAAGAGTTTACAATCTGCATAGGCAAAGACTTTTCCCATATAGGGAGTTATCTACACCAATGAAATCACAAGTCTGGTTAAAAAAAAAAAAAGGCATCATAAGGGCTTGGTAAATTATTTTACACCATCTTTAGGAAGTTATGAATGAATAAATATAAATTATAATGTAAAGTCAAGAAAAGTATCTCACAAAACATGGGAAATTAAAGAAACCCAAAGTAGAACAGCTGAGTGGTAGACATTATATACATTCTCTGCTGAAAGACTAAACATTCTTAGAGATTAAGTCTCAAAACATTTTTCTACAGTAATATTACAAGGGGAAAACTCAGAGAAAATTGGTATTTTGTCATTAGTCTGAGAAGTGATACAGTTTATCTCTAGTAAGCAAGAATTTGGGGAACAGGGGTAAAATGGAGCAATTTGGGCAACTTCCTTGTTCTTCCTAAAGCAGTGTGGCTTTTTAAGCTATGTGAATCCCCAATTCCCAGTAACATTGAAATATTAAGCATATGTTTCAAAGTAAATCATAAATTCCCTGATAAGCTAAGTCTTTTGCAACAAATACAAGAAATATGTGAAAATATAATTAAATTGAAGCTTAACTTCATTATAAAGTTTACGTTATCTTTTTTTACTGGTCATCTAAGAGACTCAACTGAGCACACATGACATGTTGCCTCTCCCATTTCAGAAATGACATGGTCACCTGAGAAACATATTTAGGAAGCAACAAATCTTAGAGTTTTACCCTAACTGCCCATCAGGAGAGGATGCATGGTGCCACAGAAATGTTACTGGATTCACTCTGGCTCTTCATTTACTACTAGGTGACACCAGACAAGTCACTTCAAAGTCACTTTTCTGCAACTCAGTTTATTCTTCTGTAAAATAATGAGGTTGGGCTATATGACCTCCAACATCCCTTCCAGCTTTAAATCTATGATCCTATGATCTACTTTATCACAACTCTCTCTTACGTTTCTCCATCCAACCCATCTTCTCTTTCAATAATCGTAACTGTTTGATTGAAGACAGCATCTTGGAACACATTGCCCTATAAAAACACAAAAATCTGAAATGTGGTGAAATGATTAAAGTTTCAAAGAGATTTTAAAATCCATTTAACTCATATTAGACGACCATACAGCATTCTCATAATTGATGAGGCCAATATGTGTAGCCAGCAGGACTGATGCAAGCACATTTTAACTATAAATCGTTGGTTTAAAATTACCACCACTTGGCAAAGAATTGGAAATTGAGGAGATGCTCGTCAATTGGTGAATGGTTGGACAAGTTGTGGTTTGACTGTGATGGAATGCTATTGTGCTACAAGAAATGATGAGCTGGATGCTTTCAGAAAAACCTGGAAAGACTTACATGAACTGATACAAAGTGAAATGGGTAGAACCAGGAGAACTTGGTACACAGTAACAGCAATATTGTAAGGTGATCAACTGTGAACAACCAACTCTATGAAAAAAGCTGTCTGTTCCCAGACAAGGAAATGATGGGAGTCTGAATGCAGACTGAAGCATTTTTTTACTTTATTTTTCTTGGATTTTTATGGGGTATGTGTATCTATGTTTTCTCTTAAAACATGAATAATATGGAAATATGTTTTGCGTGCTACACATGTATAGCCTATATCAAATTGCTTGCCTTCTCAATGAGGGAGATGGGGAGGGGAAAGAATTTAGAACTCAAAATTTTAAAAACAAATGTTAAAAATCATTTTTACATGTAATTGAAGAAAAACAAAATACTAATTAAAAAAAATAAAATAAAATAAAATTACCACCACTGAAAATCACCACTACAATGTGGTGTGTCTCCTCTATATCACTTACAACACAGATGCTTGTACCACTGCTAACACTGCCTCTTTAGGAACCAAAGTAAAGGGAGAATGAAGGAATGGAAGGGGGACCACTAGGGAAAAGAAGAGACGCCCAATTGAAAACAAAATAAAAAAAAAACCTATGCCAGAACAACACTTTTATCAGATTTATTTCTTCTCCTTTTAGGCAGAGAAAAATAGAGAAGGGTTAGTAGCAGCAGACCATTCTAAGAAGTGGGAAAGGAAAATCCAAATTTAGCTTCTAAATAGCAACAGATTAGAAACAAATCACTTCGAAACAAATGGGACGGATTTAAATCATTAGAACAACTTTCTTTAGTGGAAATAATGTTAGCCATATGAGAAACCTGGTTCTGTCATCAGGTTACACACACTGTAAAAGGATCACTGTCCTTTCTAACAAGAATGCCATCCAACCCTGCTTAACAGAATTAACTGATTCAGGCAAAATTATGTTATAGGGGACTCATGGGTCTAGGACTAGCTACGGTCAACACTAACCAGCTGATTCCTGATTTCCTCTTAGGCAACTGGGCAAATGACACTACTGCTGGATTTTGGTTATCATTTTATTAATGTTACTGAAAAATGACACTAGTTGGGGTAACTTTATAGAGGGTATACTTCTACTTCCTTGTATTTAACTCATACTCAACTCAGAAACATAAAAGCAATTTATGTATTTTTTAAAATCTATTAACAAAGATGATTTAATGACTACTTTATCACTAAAATACTGTACCTAAAGGTTTTAATCTGACATTATCTGCAACAGTCCTCTACACTACTACATAAAAGTATTTTCCAATCAGCAAAAGTCTCAAAGGAGAAAAAATATTTTTACATGATTATCTGCACTAGAGGTCTTTAAACTGGATAAAAACTGTATCTGTAGGTTGGGTATCATGTTATCTTCTGTAACTTCATAGGTGAAAAGATAAGGGGCATGAAATTCTAAATGTCTCATTAAACACTGTAAAACACCTGTCTATTTTTAAAGGTTACACAACTCGTTTGAAGGCAGGAAAAAAAGACCAACATATCCTGGAGGCTAACTTTGAACACTAGAATTCTAGGATATCAGTTCTATTCTGCTGCTAAACATATAATAAACAACTAATGTGAACAAAAAGACATCAAGAGTCGGCACAATGGATAGAGCTCCTGCGTTGGGAGTCAGGAGGACCTGAGTTCAAATCTGGCCTCAAACACCAGCCAATTACTAGCTATGTGAGCCTGGGCAAGTCACTTAACCCCAACTGCCTCACCAAAAACCAACAAAAAAAGACATCAAGAATTATGTTTGGCCACTTTGTTCCCAATGATTAAAATGACAAACTTTGTTGCTAAGACTACTTGTTCTAGAACACTAGAAATCATAATGTATAAACTCTGAGGTAAGTAGAAGGCATAATGAATTGTAAAACAACCAAAAGGCAGGCAACCAGAGAAGAGGAAGCTTTGCATAATTTACAAATTTGACAGTTAAGTCCCTAAACAATGAGTGGCCTATGATCCAGATTGATTATTTATCAAGCAAAATGTCATCCCCCTCCCCACTCCACTGGGTTGAAACTTTAAACAGAAAAAAAATAAGCAGGGCTTACATTTAAATCTTTGTAGTTCAGATTGATGACTAGACCAAATGGACGCCCACCCATGGGCTCTGCAGGGATGAAAGAGTACTCAAATGTTGCCTGCCTCTGGGGTGGCACTACGGTGTTCAGAGGAAGAGCGGTGAAATTCTGGATATAAAACTGGTAATCCTGAGGATAGCGGAATGAGGCATCTAGAGATTCAACAATAAAGTCTTCTGTACCCTTGTTTGTAAAGCCTACCAGGAACTTCACAATGTTATTTGCTGGGAAATCTAAGAAAGAAAATTAAGGAAAGTTAGAAAGTTTCACTGAGATATAAAAGATACCTAAACACCAATTCCAACCTTAAAAATTACACTTATAAAAAAAAATTACACTTATCTACATTTATAGAAGTCAAATCTCAATTATGAGTATGTGAACTGGGAGCTGTTGTAAATATCTAGTGGTAGGGTTAGTATTTAGTAGTTGTATGGTCCACCTGCAGCACTCTAAGAACCCAAAGCTGACAGCTAAAAGAAAGCAGTGATAACCTGGCTAAAAATGTCAACACAGCCACAGGAAATTAAATTGTGTAACTCCTATTTAGAATAGATCCCCTGATGTTAGAGATCTGACAAAGATGGTGAAGAAACACTGGACTTTAGATGTCAGGAGACCTGAATTCGATTCTCATCTCTAACCCATTAGGACAAGGGAGAAGTCACTTCATTCTGCTGAGCTTTAGTTTCCTCATTCGTAAAATGGAAAAACAGCCCCTCCCCTCAAAGAGTTGTGATAATCCAATGAGCTTAACCTCTCTGAAACACAATTTCCTCACCTGTAAAATGGGGAGAATCCCTATACTAACTACCTCACAGATACTAAGGATCACATGAGAATGAATCTAAAGTATTTTGCAAACTTTAGAATTATATAAATGTCAGTTATTACACCTAGAGGGTTGGATCGGATTTTGCTGGGAATCACTTGGCTTTACATGCTTTATAAGCCAAATGCCTCGTATTACCTTGTCTCTATTGGGACATAACTTGCTACTAAGATAGTTTGGTTATTATTCTGAACAATACTGAGAGCCACAAGGATCTAACCAATACCTCATATTTCTATAGATGACCTGCACTGGTAAGAGTTTCTACCCTGGGAAGTTCCTTACACTGATGAAATCATGAGTCTAAACCTTATGCCTACCTATAGTACTTTAAGGTTTCCAAAGTACTTTTCCCTACCCTATTGTGAGTTAACCTAAAGAGACTCATTTTGTTAATGAAGAAACTAAGGCTCAAAGTAGTTCAATGAGTTGTCCAAATTCAGAGAGTTATTAAGAGTCAGAACCAAGATTCAAATTCAGCTATTCTAATTCTAAGTCTTATGTTCTTTCCAAGACAACTCTGTTAAATAGATAACATAAAAGGGTAGGGAAAGAATACTGAGCTATAATAATCAAAAATACTGTCAATACCATGAATGATAAAAATGCCAACGAAGTAAAAAAAGCCAAAAAGTTACGAAATGAGAGGGGAAAACCAAATCCTTTCTTCAAATTAAAATTTTTACAATTAGAAGAAGCAAAAAGTACACCAGTATGAAAAAAAGATTTTCAGAAATCCATGAGAAACAAGTACTTAAAAAATAACTTTTATCTCTTTAAGACCTTTTACAACTTTCTTGACAGCTGACTGCAAAACTAGTATTTCATTAATATTTTACATAAAAAATATTATGCAATACTGTAGTACAATAGTTTGAAAATTTCTGAAAACAGAAGCTTTGAAAATGCTCACTGATCCACGAACATTTAATTCCTAGGTCAAAGAGATTTTTCTGTTTTTTCCCTGTTTATTTTTCCTTTTCAAGTTCCACATGTCATTCTTTAAACAGATAAGATGTTTTGTAAAGAGAACACCCATTATGCCAATTTCAAGAGGAATATGTACAAAATACTTACTTAAGCATCATTCCAGAACCTTTTCCCCTTCTCCAAAGTCCTTCTACATCTAGCTCTGTTCCCTGCTTACTAAGGATTCCTGAGATGATTAATGAGGAATAGTTTTACTTGTAGTGCTGAAAAACGTTTATTTTACCTTCTCCTTTTACAAATAAGATAGTTGTGTCTGCACTTGGTGAGGCTTCAGGTTCACCAGAGAGGTCCTCTTCTTTTTCTTCTACCTAACAACATTAAAAAAGGGATATATTAATATAAGGAAAGAGTCATTATTACGGCAGCGGGGCTACTAGACTTTTATATTTACACAACAATAAGGCAGTGAATAAGTACATCAGATTGACTTCCTAGCCCCTTCTCACCATTTTCAGCTTCCTTTTCAGAGTTATCTTTGCCATTAAAATGTAAACTCCTGGAAGGCACAAATTGTCTTTCTTTTTGCTTGTATTTGTATTCCAGGGATTGCTCAGCACAAAGCAAGCACTTACTAAATTCTTGGAGACAGATGACAGCAGAAACTTTAAAAGAACTACATATTTCAAAAGATGTAGAAGTTATTCAGTGGAGTGCTCCAAGTATGAAAGACAGCTCATGAAAAGGCACAGAGTATGTTACAAGTAGGCTGGTTTGGCTAGAACACAGAATATGTGAGGCAGACTACTGTGAAGTATGCCTAGAAAGATGAGTTAAAACCATACTGTGAAGGTCTCTAAATTTCCATTTTATCCTAAAGGCAAGAGCCACTGCAACTTCTTGAGCAGTAGAAAGACCTTGTTGAGCCTATTTTTTTAGGAATATCAATCTGGCAGGTGTGTGAAAGATAAAACAGAAAAACTGAAAGCAGTAAAACCAATAAAACTCTAGATAAGGAATCTGAGGCACAGAGAAGTATCTGAGATGGAATTTGAACCCAGATTTTCCTGATTCTAAGTCCAACACTCTATTTACAACGCTATGCTGTCTCATTTAACCTCATGAGGTCTGTTTCCTCATCTCTAAAAAGAGAGATGGCTTAGACATTTCTAAGGTCCAACCAATTTTAAATCTATATTCACACATGACACACACACAAATAATTTACATAAAATAATATACATAATAACACATGTAGTACATGATCAAAGTGCTTTGGGAAATATGATGGGAGGGGCAGGGAAGACATAGATTTGGTGAAGTGAGGAGGGAAAGATTAGAGAACACATAATAGGTGGTGGTAATTGAGTTATTTTTTTAAATAATGAGTAGGAATAGAAAAGGTGGAAGTCTACCTAACTTCAAGTTTAACATTCAAACCTCTACCTTCCATTGCCTCTTAGCAGAAAAGCAATGTTATTATTAAAAGTATTATTTGAGTCTTCTTGTACAAAATGAATAATATGGAAATGACTTACATAACTTCGCATGTATAACCTATATCTGACTGCTTACCATCTCAGGGAGGGGGAGGGGGTAGAAAGAGATAGAATTTGGAACTCAAAATTTTAAGTAAAAATGTAAACAAACAAACAAAAAACCAATAGAAACGCAGCATAAACGGGCACATTAAGGGCCAATGAAAGCAATGAAGAATCAAGTAGGATAATTCATAGCTGGATCCTTGAAAGATGTAAGTTTTAGGAAGAAGACATATGGGTGGGTTAAAGAAGGGAATTCTAGGCAAAAAGGCTGTAATTTGTAAGCTATTTACTTCCAAGTGAAGCAAGAGTGGCTTGACTAAGAAGGAAAAATTCAAGTAACAATAAATGAAATCAGTGGAATATAAACAGGAAGAGAGAAGAAAGTTCTGTTAGGATGGGAGCCAGTGTAGGTCCTTCAACCATGTGTGAAATCATGAAGTCTAGAAACAGTATAGGTTCAAGATTCACAGAATAAGAATGATGTTTGAATAAGATTAATCCGACGGTTTTATATGACTTATTTCATGCTATTCTTCTTTTTAAAAGTTGATTGCTTTTGTTTTTATATCAGTTATTTCTGGGTATAACAACCCCCTTCTTTCTTGCCTAACAAAGAAAGGTGGTCAAGCAAAAACAAATGCTACAGTAACTATATCTGATAGCGTATGCAGCATTCTGTTTCTATAGTCCCCCCTCTTCTCTTGAGAGGAGGAAGCTGTGTTATATAATCTGTTCTTCAAGACCAAGATTGGTTATTACAGTTACTCAGGATTTGGCCTCCTTTAAACATTCTTTTAATTTGTTATTCCAGTCTCTGTGCTGCTTCTTGACTTCAGAGGAATAAGATATGAGGGTGAGAGGGGAACTAGATCAGGGTACCTCATTATAGCAAGGATATTAACAAATTGGAGATCATATAGAGGAGGACAAATAGAACAGTAAAGAGTCTTGAATGCATATCCCCCATCAGTTAAAGGAAATGGGGACATTTGGCATGGAGAAGACTGGGGGAGGAAGCAATACGTAAGAGAACTCATAAAATACTTGAAAGGCTGTCCTGTTGAAGGCATATTAGATCTGTTCTATTGTTCGACTTCTTTCTGGAGGACAGAGCTAGTAACACTGAGCAGAAGTTGCAAAGAGGCAAATTTAGGCTGGATGTAAAGGAAATCTCGGGGCATTCTATTTATTTAGGGAGGTCAAAGGATCATAGATCTAAAGCTGCAACTAGAAGGGACCATTGAGGTTCTCTAGTCTAACCTCATTTTACAGATGAAGCCCAGAGAGGTTAAGTGACTTGACCCTGGTCATACAGGGTCCTCTGACTCCAGAGCCAGTTGGTAGGTTCCTCTTTACTATAAGTATCTAAGAAAACATATGCAGGATGACCGCTCAATGACTGGGGATCCCTTTTGGAGGCTAGGTTTGACTAGATGACTCCTGAGATTCCTTTTTTGACTCTGAAAAATTCTGTGATTACAGTAAGAAGTGAAGAGAGATAAATTATCACCTACAAGGAGAAAAGGAGGCACACTGATTCTGAGTTCTCCCCTAGGGTTCTTATAAATCTGTCTATTGCGGGGAATTCAAATCTACTATCTAGAACCCCTACTACTACAAACGACAAGATGATTTCTAAGGTCTCCGTCAATTTCAAATCTGGCCAAAGCAAGATATTGTTTTACAACCTACATAATTAGATTCACTAGACCTCATAAAATTATGAACTGATATTATAACAAATTTACAACAAGTTTTATCAAGTGCTTCCCAACAAATCATACGCTCAAGATGTCAAATATAATCCACCACTAACCAAATCTGTGGGTTCATCTTCTTCTATTTCTGCTTCATCATCTTCATCTTCAATTATTGTATCTTCCAGTGCTTCTTCATCCTCTGTAGCATCTTGGGCCACAGCTACTGACCCTAACGATGTAAACAGAAAGTGTTTGTAACAACTGAACCTAAGGGCAAGACATTAATCAATAAGTTAATCCTGATGGTTAAAATCATAATCACACAAATACTGTTTAGAAGACATATATCCTACATGCAAAACAGTACAACACTCAGAATGTGCTACCATATTGTTTGGAAGAATCATATCAATAAATAAATAATGAGCATGGATGCATGTAAAACACTTTACATTGTGAAAAATATAGTGAAGACATAGCAAAGCAAGTTAACAGAAAAAAAGATTTGTATTTCTGCTTGTTTTGAGTTTCAATGTAAAGTTCTAAGATACTTATATTAGAAAATGAGGGAAACAAGTTAAAGTCTAGAAAAAAACAAAAGTAAAACTATATTGCTTTTCTATGTAAGCAATTTGATACAAAGAAACCTCTAAACTGGTTTAAGTATTTTCTAAAATAGACCCTGAACACAATTTCTAGGCCACCAGTATGTAAATCTACCAATGATTTGTAGAAAGAATGATGATGTGGCAATTCAGTTCAAAAATATAGGCAAGGGAACAAATACACATGCTGTAATACCCAGAAGAAAAGAATATATATAGACTCCTACATCATGAATTTGGCTTCTACTTAAATGTTGGTGACAGTCATGAACTTTGCAAAATAGAAAGAACACTATACTATGAAATAAAGAACTACAATTTTCCAAACTAGGGTGTAAGTGATAACTATATGACACAGTAATTTAAAATGAAGCACCCTTAAATTTGACTTTTTATACAAAATGGCCTCTGGTCATTCATTTCAGTTTAACTTAGATTTTAAACTATATATATTTACTAATACAACAGCATTATTTTGATAACAATCTTAGTGACATTTACTTAGTCCTAAACATTCTTGGTTGCAAAAAATTAAAGAAAGATATATTCTGTAAAATATAAAATGTTTTAGAAATATAACCCTATGGGACGGAGGTAATCCAAATATGAATCCAATGTCAATTTTTGTAGAAAGATTAAGACCACAAAGTAAAAATGGTCAAAATCAGAATTTTTAAAAATTAAGTTATCCTTAAGAGGCAGAAGGAAAGGAGATCTGCAAGCATCTCCGAAAGCAAACTCAATTTTTTTTCTTATAACCTACAGCTGAATTAACTTTTCCTCCAAGATGTTCTTTCCATACATTGAGTCAAAATCTGTCAATCTACTTTATTTTCTTTGTAAAACATAAGTTCATTGGATTATACCATTAAAATTTAATCAAAACATTCTTTTGGAATTTGATTTTTAGAGTTGTAAAGAACCTTAGAGATCATCTAGTTTAATCTCCTCTTTTCACAGATGAAACTGAAAGTGAAAAGTGAAGGGACTTGTCCATAGTCACACAGAAAGTTAGAGGCTGAGCTGGGATAAAGAACCCAAGTCTCTGGATGCTCTCTCCACTACATCAAGCTATACCTACTTTACTCGCTCTCATTCTTCTTTTTTGCCCTCTCTTCATTTCTTTGACTATTGTAGCATATAGGCAATACCATTAAGGAATTTCTCTTGGAAGTTTTAGAATCAAGGCTCTCTATCTAAATTAAGCCTAAGTAAGGCCAGTAGCTCAGAAATGGTTTTTATATGAAATTTAAAGTGATTGAGAGCGCAGGGTTACACAACCTGACACAACGACATAGATGAACACTGCTCCGGGGCACTAGGAGGAAAAAAATCCCCTTTTGAGATTAGGGAACTAATTAAGTAAAGTATGTCAGTGGGAGAGAGGAAGGTTAAGATTCCCAGGAAAAAGGACAGGCAACCAAAAAGAGGTGCTGTGCCAGGCCGGGTGCAGGGAAACATGGATTCTGTGCAATGAATGAAGCCAGGCCCCCTACAGCAGATAATGACACGTCAGCCTAGAGCCCGGCGCCGAGTGCGCGTGGGGGCGGGGGAGAGCGGTCGGTGGCGGAGCGGGCAGCGGCCACTGCAGCTCCGCTCCGCCGCCCTCGGGGATGCCCTAGGTCCCGGAACGCATGGACAGGGGGCGGCCACGCAGGTCGGAGCGCTGGGACAGAGGCACCGGGCAATGTCACCCGGCCCGGCCGGGAGACAGCGCGCGGCCCGCTAAGGATCCGCACGGCAGGGGATCGGGAGAGCCCCGCTCCTGGAGGCCTCCTCGTGCACCCAGGACTCCCCGCCCTGCCCCCCGCGCCCCCGATCCCCGGGATCGGCGGAGGGAAGGTAGAGGTGCGGGAGGGAGCAAGGACCAACTGCCGCGCGACCCCCGAGAGCCGCCGCCACTGCCTCCCACCGCCCCCCACCACCAAACTTGGCAAGCGCTGCAGTCGTTCCCCGTCTTAATCCTCCCACGCCCCTCTCGCCGTACCTCCGGGGCCGCCCCCAAGCAGTAGCGCGGTGGGGAAGACGAGCAGCACGATCAGGATCAACCGGGAGAAGAATCTCATGGTGGGGCCAGCGGGCTTCCCAGCCTCCACAGGCTCTTACGGCGGCTTCGGCGGTAATGGCGATACTCCTCATCCGGGCTACGAAGTGGGCGGGGCACGCAGACGTCAAACGGGACGTGGCCCCACCTCCCTCCTCGTTAGCTCCGTTGTGAACGTGGCTCCGTCCCGGCCAGGGAAGCCCGAGGTTTGGGGCTGGGTGGGGGAGGAGCGGGGTGGCGTAGTAAGGGGTGGTCACGTGACAACGCCGCTGTGCTCTTAGCAGGGAAAGTGACGTCTTCCCTCCTGGTGAGTTTCCCTGCTCCTGGATGTACCTTGTGTGGCGTTGTCCTCCCTTTTCCACTGGGTCTTTGAGAGTCTATAGGGAAGGTGAACCGGGCTTTTTAACCCAGCAGTCTGTTGGTTTGGTTTTTTTTTGAAACATTTTTTTTTCTTTTGTAAGGCAGTTGGGGTTAAGTGACTTGCCCTGGGTCACACAGCTAGTGTTAAGTGTATGGTCTGAGGCCGAATTTGAACTCAGGTCCTCCTGACTTCAGGGCCAGTGCTCTATGCACAGCGCCACCTAGCTGCTCCTTCCGTTGTTATTTTTAAACTTTCCCAACTTGAGTTATAGCTGTTAGTTCATAACACCTGATTAAGCCCCAATATGTGCAAAGCCCAATGCAGGACTCTGGGAGCATACAGAGTTTATCGAAAATATTGCTCTATCCTCTTGAAGCTTTTTAAAAAAGATCAGAGGGATGATGATTACCACGATGATGAAAAAGATGAAGAAAGAAGATGATGATAGTACTGATGTGGTTTGAGGTGCTTAGAACCTTGAAATGCAGGGGTACAGGGGGGTCTGCCTCAAAAGAATTCCACCACTCAAGCCTTCTTTCAATCAGAGTTTTATTATACATGAATTGGGCAGGTGAGAGTCTAAGAATCTGCGGAATTTAATGAGGGTAGGATTAGTACTTTTGTACAGAAAAAGACTGAGAAAATCTGGATGGGACCAAGGAGTGGGAAGTAGCCTGGGATGGGCCAGGTGCAGACAATGAAAGTCTGGGCTGGGTTGGAGGGCCACAATGAAAGAACTGTTGAAAGAATTATGCTGAGATGGGCCTGATGCCTCAGTGACGCCTGGGCTGAAATGTGTGAGGAAGTTGAAGGACTGAGAGTCTAGGTTCCATACCCCATCATTGCCAATGATTCTGAATCGGTGTTGAAGCTCTGAATGAAAAAGATCTGATTCAAGTTTCATTTCTGACCTATCCTGTTGGTGTCATTTAACCTGAGCTAGTCATTCTTTGTGTTCTGGCAACTGAACTTCAGAGAACCTGCTGACCTTCATTGCTAGTGGAAGGAGTGCCCAGGTAAGAGCCCAGAAAGGACTCTTCTGAGGATGTGGAAGTTCCTCATTGGAATGAAATCACAGATCAAGGCCCTAGCCCTAATATTAATCTTGAACACTTTAAGGTTTAGAAATTGCTTCACACATATTACCAGATGGTACAACAACCAGTAGATAATAAGCTTCTTTGTGGTAGAGATTTGTTTCTTTTTTTGGCCTAACACTGGGCCTTGCACATAATATGCACTTAATGTTGATTGAATAATACAAAATGTATCCATGGCCCAGTCTGTTCTGGATCTTCTTGAACTTCCGTTCTAGGGGAACTTTCAAACAGTGTATTATCTGTCTGACTTTGTCCCCATCCAGTTAAAAAAAACAGGCAAGTTAACTTGGTGCTAACATGCAGGCAAGTAACATCATTAATATAAGACAGAATTAAGAGTAAAGCAACGGAAACAATCTCAACACATTTTCAGTAAGAACAATTTCAATTTCCTTTTCCTTTCCTCTCTTCACAAAGTAGTTTAGGAAACAAAACTCATTAGGGAAGACATGGGCCAAGACTCTGAAACTGAAAGAAAGGGTTCAAGTGTGTTTTTGCTTTTTTTTTCTTTTCTTTTTGGTGAGGCAGTTGGAGTTAAGTGATTTTGCCCAGGGTCACAGAGTTAGTAAGTGTCAAGTGTCAGGCAGGATTTGAACTCAAGTCCTTCTGACTCCAAGGCTGGAGCTCTATCCTCTGCACCACCTAGCTGCCACAGTGCTCAAGTTTTGAAAAGGCTGGAAACTACTCCTAGTGGTCTCTGATGCCCACTGCTTATCACCTGTCTAACCACTCCCATTCCTATTATATGGAAGAAATAATTCCTTTCTGATTTCAATGTAGAAATTACCTAGGTTTTATTATGTGTAAGCATAGGTTTAGTCCTCAGAGAAAAACACCAAGCCTGAAAAAAGATTAGGGTTCTAACAAGTTGTCTTATAGAAAAAATTATGTTAGGCGGAGCCAAGATGGCGGAGCAAAAGCAGTGACTTGCTTGAGCTCTCCCCCAAACCCCTCCAAATACCTATAAAACATGGCTCTAAACAAATTCTAAAGCAGTAGAACCCACAAAAAGACAGAGCAAAACAAATTACCAGCCCAAGACAACCTGGATGGTTGATTGGAAAGGTATATCCCACCAGGCTAGGAGAGGAACGCAGTTTGGTGTGAGTGCCTAGGCCACAGCAGACCTGGAGCAGGCCTCAGAGGACTGAATCGGGGGCAGCTGTGGTGGTTTCCAGACTTCTTAACCTATGAATGCCAGACAACTTAGAAGGTCAGTGGTAAAAGACTGTTTCTGTGGTGAGAGAGAGAGGTGCGGGGTCCCATCCCTATTCCCTGAGCTTGGCCACAGGGTGGCGGCTGCCTCCTGAGCTTCTGGCCCACAGACTGAGGGGGAATTGAGTGGTTGATCAGAGGGGGATTGCAGGGATCTCTCTGCTGGTGCCAGATTCTATTACTTTGCTGGTGCTTGGATCTGGGTCACAATTCTGGGTGGCAGTCCTGGGGCTAGGAGGAGCACTGGCTTGGTGGAGCTTGTAGTGGCTGTGGAGAGGAAATCCTCCTCACAGTTCCAAGACATAAAAGAGTGCTTGTGGTCATTCATAGAGCAGAGCACAGGACAAGAAAGGAGTAAACACCTCACCCTCGATCATAAATAGCACCTTGGAAGAACTGAAAATTTACAGGTCCCTAGAAGTATCTCTGAAAACAGCTACACAAAACCCCTGAAGCTTGGGACAGTATATTCTCCACATTGGAAACAGACCCATACCTTAACAAAGAGTTTATAACTCAAGTAATTGGCCAGGATCATGAGCAAGCAGCACAAAAAGAGTAAGACTATATTAAAGAATATCAAAACATACAACCAGAAGAAGACAACAAAAGCTCCTACATCCAAAACCTCCAAGAAAAATATGAACTGGTCCCTGGCCATGGAAGAGCTCAAGAAGGATTTTGAGAAGCAAGTAAGAGAAGTAGAGGAAAAACTGAGAGTGATGCTAAAGGAGACCCAAAAAAATACTGAAGAAAATAATGCCTTAAAAAATAGCCTAACCCAAATGGCAGAAGAGGTCCAAAAAGCCAATGAGAAGAATGCCCTAAAAAGCAAAATTGGCCAAATGGAAAAGGAAGTCCAAAAGTTTACTGATGAAAATACTTCCTTAAAAATTAGAATGGAGCAATTAGAAGCTAGTGACTATATGAGAAATCAAGGTACTATAAAACTAATCCAAAAGAATAAAAAAATAGAAGAGAATATGAAATATCTCATTGGAAAAACAACTGACCTGGAAAATAGATCCAGGAGAGAGAACTTAAAAATTGTTGGACCATCTGAAAAGCCATGATCAAAAAAAGAGCCTAGACATCATCTTTCAAGAAATTATCAAGGAAAACTGCCCTGATATTTTAGAACCAGAGGGCAAAATAGAAATTGAAAGAATCCACCAATCTCCTCCTGAAAGAGATCCCCAAAGGAAAACTCCTAGGAATATTGTAGCCAAATTCCAGAATTTCCAGGTCAAGGAGAAGATATTGGAGGCAGCCAGAAAGAAACAATTCAAGTATTGTGGAAACACAATCAGGATAACACAAGATTTAGCAACTTCTACATTAAGGTACCAGAGGGCTTGGAATAGAATATTCCAGAGGGCAAAGAAGATAGGATTACAACCAAGAATCACCTACCCAGCAAAACTGAGTATAATCCTTCAGGGCTAAAAATGGTCATTCAATGAAATAGGGGACTTTCAAGCATTCCTGAGGAAAAGACCAGAGCTGAATACAAAATTTGACTTTGCAATACAAGACTCAAGTGAAACATGGAAGAGGTAAACAGTAAAGAGAAATCATAAGAGACTTATTAAGGTTGAACTGTTCACATTCCTGCAGGGAAAGATGATATTTGTAACTCATGAGTCCTTTGTCAGTATTAGGGTAGTGGGAGGGAAAAAAATTATATGTATGTATAGATAGATAGAGGGCACAGGGTCAGTTGAACATGAGGGGGTAATATCTGGAAAACAAAATTAAGGGATGAGAGAGGATTATACTCGGAGAAGGAGAAAGGGAGAAGTAGAATGGGGTAAATTATCTGACATGAAACAGACAAGAAAAGGCTTTTACAGTGGAGGGGAAATGGGGGAAGGTGAGAGGGAATGAGTGAATCCTATTCTCATAGGATTTGGCTTAATACCCATACACAATGGGGCATGGAAATAATCTATCTTACCCTACAGGAAAATAAGGGGTGAAGGTGACAAGAGAGCAGGGGGTTGATAGAGGGGAGGGCAGATTGGGGGAGGGGATAATCAGAAGCAAACACTTCTGAGGAGGGACAGGGTCAAAAGAGAGAATAGAATAAATGGGGGGTAGGATAGGATGAAGGGAAATATACTTAGTTTTTCACAACATGACTACTACGAAAGTGTTTTGCATGACTACACATCTATAATCTATACCGAGATGCTTGCCTTTTCAATGAGGGTGGGTGGGGAGGAAGGAAGGGAGAAAATTTGTAACCCAAAGTTTTAAAAACACATGTTAAAAATAAAAAAGTTAAAAATTAAAAAAATAATAAAAATGAGCTGGGAAAAAAAGAAAAAATTATGTTAGAGTGACATAGAAATAGTTATTTTACAAATTGGAATCTTGTACATTCCACTTAGGCAATAAAAGTTAAAAGACAGATTCACAATCCCATGCTTCCTTC